TTTTTACGTTCCTTACGTTGTTTACGAGATATTCTTTCGGCTGCTTGAAGACCATGCTACAATCAAATCAATCAATCAATCAATCAATCAATCAATCAATCAATCAATCATATATATATATTAACTACCAGAAGATAAAAAAATCCCTCATCTCAACCAACAATAAAAAAATCACTTACTCTGACACGCCTATGTTTAGGTTCAAATTTTTTAACAAATTCAGCTTCATCATAGACCAATGCAAACCCAGTAGAACGACCTCCACCAAATACAGTTTTCATACCAAATACCATGATAACATCTTTACTGACACTAAACATTTTAGATAATTTTTCTCGAATTTCAGTTTTTGATAAATTGGCTTTGTTTGGATGTAAGACATCGATTACCATTTGTCTACGACGTAATAAACGATTTGTTATAAATTTTTTAATTCTAATAGTGACTACACTATCGTCAACCTTTTTATTTTAATTTTATAAATAACAGATAATGCATTATTTATTTTGATAATATATTTTTAAAACAACTAGTAAGAACATCTTAACAAACCATTTTTGTAATTATTGGAGGATTTTTTTTTCAAAAAAAAAAAAAGATGATAAATTTATTGATTTATTTTCAATTGTTACACGATATTTATATTGAGAAAAAAATTAAAATAGTAATCAAAAGGCTTTTTAGATCCATTATTATGTATTTATATATATATTTATTATTGGGATCAAGATTATTTTACAAGAAAAATGTATAAAATAACATAAATAGATTTTAATTTACTATATGCCATGAGATCTCTTCAAGACTGCTTAGTACTGCTAATGAAGAGAGAGAATCAACGCAAAGACTTTACCCAAAATTTTACGAGTAAATATAACCTTTTTTATCAATTGATTTCTTTCTCTCGCGTAATTTCTATTACTATCAGGCGATGTATGTATACATACATCCAACAGGGATTTGCAATCCAGCCTTTTACAGATTGGAGATACGAAGCCTTCTTCCGAATATACTTTGATTTTTTTCCTCGTTATCATTATCATAAAGATCGTTCTTTAGGTTATTTGTTTCTTCCAAAAAGTGGATTAAAGGAAAAGATGAAAGAATCTTATGTTTTTTTTTTAGTCCAAGATCCGTCCCCCAGAAAAAAAACCATCTATTTAAAGGTTTAATTAATATTAAATGAATAAAAAAAGTTTGATCAATAATTCAATTATGTTAATAAATTAATTATATATATAATTAATATATATCTATATTATTATTGTCTGTCAGGGTTAAAAAGCTCAATTTTTTTATAGTTCATTCAATTGAATACAATTTTATTTTATTCAATTTCATTTGAAGAAATTCAAAGAATACACATCATTCAGTTCTTTATCAATATATATAAGATCGGA